GCAGTCTTCAGGAAAACTGTAAAGCTTATTGGAAAGAGAAAAGATAGGGCGGTTTCAAGACGATTTTAATCCTGATGAAATTGCGTTCGAAATAAGTAATCCTCGTGTGAAGCATAAAACCCGCTTGCCATTTACCCCTAGCCGATCCGAAACCCATCCGAAATATTTCACGAACGGGGAAACATTCAGACAGCAACTGGGTAGAAAACGCAACAGTAGGAACATTTCCGTTGTATGCTGTTAACCACTCCTCAAAGCCGCGCCCCTCAAAAGATATACCCCGAAATGGCGCCCCAGGACGTTTGATAGCCCCAACACCGCGCTCAATACGTTTTTTCAATTGAGAAGCGAGTTGCCAGCGCGATCGATAATAGCCGAGTATAGAACGATATACTGCCGCCTGGTTATCCATTTTTTTCATTTGGCTCCGCATTTTTTGTATTTTTCATGTTTCGCTTTGTTGTGTCGTGCATGTTTTCATTATTTCCCCGTCACCATTCATTGAATGCACATCTGGGCCCTGACACGCTCACCTTGGGGCTATTTTTTCACCAATTCAGCCTATCAATGATCACCATTAGCCGCTATTTCAATTGTGTTTCTTTTACAAGTTGCATGTCATACATAGTTATCGAACGAGGAGTTTTATTTTGAATCCTAAGACAAAATTGTAGGTAATGCGAGGCTGTTGTTCAGCCTCATATTGCATGAGGCTGAAACAGCCTATTTATTACCTGGATTTTAGAGCAGAGTCCGCCTTTCGAAAATCCAGATTCTATTTCCATTCCTGTGGTGAACATGCATCTGGTTGTCAGTTAGAGCAGGAGGGGGGGGAGGGGGTCGTAACTGGACCCTCTTCGAGGGGGGGGTCGTACTCACACCGCCATTTCGCACATCCCCATGCTGTACCCTGGCCAAGGATCATGAACCTTTGGAGGCTTAAGGTACGATAATTTGGTACTTGTCTCAGAATAACAGCAGGAAAGCTTCATAGTGGGGAAAATGACGAAAAAACGGACTTGAACGGCCAAAAGTCTGCGAAAAATCCTTTCTTGCTAGGCGTATCGAATCTGTACGCCTTGTCGATTCATCGTGCCACTTGCCTTTGAAGAACTCTAGTGACCGCATTTGAAGAGCTCTAGTGACCTTCCTATAATTTTCAATGAGATATCCCCATTATGGGGGAAAAGTCTGATTCTACCAGGTCGAACTGAAAAGTAAAAGTTCTCTAAACTTTATAGCTCCACCAGCATGTCCGGGAGATTCTCACAAAGCCCAGTTTCATCCTACATTGCGATATCAAAAAAGCTTTCAGTTGTTAGCCTTTCTCGATATTCCTCTTTCCGTGAATACTAAATACCCCTCCCCTCCCCGCTCTGATGGGGTTTTTCTGGGAAAAAATCGGGAAGAGTGGCAGGAAGTTTGGGAGAGTTTAGGAAAATAGTAGGTAGATGGGGGATAGGGGAAGGAGGAGTGGTTCCGGAGGAGGAACTTCTTGTATTTTGCAAAAATTCTCCTCAACGGTCTGGGTGCAGCCGAGCAAACACGAGTAAGTTTGTGCTTTTTTGTCACTTGTCTCTGAGCGTTTGTCTGCCGTCCCCTTGAGTTTTTTTGCTGAAGTTAAACTTCTCAACACCATACACCTCCTGAAGAAAAAACCTGACAAAGAAAGGTCAGACCGACACTAAGAATAAGTCAAAGGAATGTCACACAAACACCAGGGCATTACCTGAAAACAAAGACATCAAGGTCATCATAACAATGAAAGAGTTCGGTCAAAGAGAATTGAAAAGCAGGAAAACATGCGGTGGCATCACTATTTTGCACCAGCAGCGGAGTGGCTATATTTGGAACAAAAAAGCGGAATCGAGGATATCTTGCACGCCTAGTTCCTCTTCTGTTAAAATTTATTAGGTTGTCCGGAAAGTTCTCAGCGTTTTGAGTGTTTCACTTTAAACGATCATAACTTTCTTAATACTCATCGGATTTAATCGAAATAAGCACCGTTCGAATCAGCACACTTTTGCCAATGTGACACCTGTCGATAAATAACAACAAAGAAAAAACTGGGTGGTCGAGAAATTCACGAATCCACGCGAGGGCTTTTTTTTTGCCTGTCCTGCATTGATCGGTGTTATTCAGCAAGGAAGTTCGGAAAATTTTTAAAGGGATATATGTGGTTGATGAAAGGCTGGTGGAGAAAGGCGCAGTGAGTTAGAAAAAACCTCAACCCAGTTCGTCCAATTTATGGATAGTGATTTGTGAAACGTGTGGGCGGGCGTTGTCATGCAAAAGGATCGGACCTTCTCTGTTGACAAGTGCTGGCTGCAGCTGACGCAATTTTCGGGTACATTTCGTCGATTTCTTCACAGTAGGACTCTGCTGTGATGGTTTGGCCTGGTGACAAAAAGTTATAGTGGATCACACCAGCCGATGACCATGACCTTTTTTCGTGAGGATTGCTTTGGAAATTGCCTCGGTGGTTCGTCGGCATCCACAAGACCTAGTCGCGGACGTCTCCGTTATCATACACCAGTCGGATCGCCCGGTGAAAGGTTTGCCGCCGATCCCTTTTTCCGCGTGTGAAGTGGGTCCGAGTTTTCCATGAGAGGGAGGACCAGTCGGATCGACCGGCTTCGCCGGCCGAATGGTCAAAAAAATATTATTCTGAGACTGTTTTGTTATGATAATTGCTGTTTAACGCCGCTGCGCGCTTCGGCCGAATATTATCACAAAATTGCTGAGTTGTGGCAAAAGGTCGTTGCCCAGAGGCGTCGAGCCGCACCTCACGCTTTCCGGGCGAGTGCGCTATCCGTTACGCCACCAGGGCCGCTTTTACCCTCTCAGCTTAACGGCTTTTATGCCGTAGCCTATCAGCACTCACACGTTTAAATTCATTCACGATTACGGCTGACCGGCTCACCAAGTTGAACGTGTGAGTGCTGATAGGCTACGGCATAAAAGCCGTTAAGCTGAGAGGGTAAAAGCGGCCCCGGTGGCGTAACGGATAGCGCACTCGCCCGGAAACGTCGGGAAGTCGGACCCCCCTGGGCACGCACTTTTGCCCACAACTCAGCATACTAGTGATAATATTATTCTGGAGAATTACCGCACTCTTCCGTTCCAGTCCTTTTATATACCCTTCTAGAAAATAGTCATCAAAGTTTTCTATACGGCATGATGAGAAATCGCAGAAGAAACTATTGCCGATGATACCAAAAATTTGGTATACTCGCTACGGTTAACCATCACTAACTTCATTTGCCGAACTATTGCTTTCACCTTTACTCCCCGTTTCGTGGGGTTTTTCGGCGATGCGTTTTGAGTTTTTTCTCGGCACCGTTCACTTCTTCGAGCGCCGCCGCCCATCAAAGGTGGCTCGTGATTTCGTCGCTGTAGCCCATCGTTTGCCAGCTTTTTCCCCCCGCCCCCCCCCCCCTCCCGTCAATGCACCCCTCGCGGCTTTTTTGCTTGGACCAACAGAATCTCTATCCATGAACGTATTACTCTTATACTGTTGCAAATGATGAAAGCTTTAGCGTTGCCTATGCTACATCTTCAACATCATTTACAGTGTCCTAAGAGAATTTCGTAGCCTCCACTAATCAATCCACATATCCAAGCTGCAATTCAGAAAGCTAACAAAGAAGGCAGAAAGGCAAAGGTATGTGGATTTTTCATTTTTTGAGTGCAAAAACTGTTCAGAAAACTCCAATTTAGGTAACCGATTTGGGTGATCTCGTTGAAGATGCACAGTTTTTGAACAGTCTCCAATCTGGAGTGAATAGATGGATCAAGGAAATACGGAAGGTTAGTTCTCTGGTGCTTGCCGGGAGGGGGGAGTGTTGAAGGTTATGATAACCTTGGTATTCTCACCTTGTTCCACCGAGACAGACACCAACTGATAAACGTGATCCCGGGCTCAGCTCATCGCCTACAAGAGAATGATGCTTTTTTGGTCCCTCCTACATTTGGAACTGTGCTCTACTAGAATATCTCCAGAAAAAGAGAATCTAGTAACGACATGGTGTCCGATTTTGTATTTCAAAAAGTCCAAGAAATGAAATGTATCTTCTTTTCTTTTCAGTAATCGATTTGACCCTCAAGCCCTCAACATGTGGAAAAGTCTTTCACGCCAACCCGTTATCGTTCGATACGGCACCACGCATTTTTAGTCCGGTTATTGTTATAGCGTTTTCGCAAAGACATGGTCCCTCTGGTACAATAGCGGTAAGAACATAATTAACTGGCTCTCGTGAACCACAGACAGATAAACAGAGCCATGCATGATAATTAGGCGCTCTCTCTCTTGTGTAAGTCGGCGGCATATTGCACATTTTCAGGTCCTTCTCTGCTACTTCATCCTTCGGACATAGTGGTTTCCTATTTTGCTAGAGACTCTATAGTGTATAACTCGTTTGCTAACGGCTGAACAGATGGGGCAAATATCACTTGTCCACAGAGTTTACAGGTCCTTTCACAGAGAGGTGACCCTGATTGCAAACTTCCGAACAAGCCATGTTGCAGCGCCGCTCACCAGAACGAAAGAGCGTCGCGGATGTTGAATTGCGGCCGTCAGTGACGATTCATAGCGGGAGTCATATGTGCAGTAGGCGACATGGAGCGGATGAGATATCGAGGAAAGTCAACAACAACAATTCTTCGCGGCTTTCTCCTTTTTCTTATGGAGAATCCTTTCTGGAACGTAAATGCATCCCCTCCTTAGCGACCGAGTACCCCCCCCCCCCTGCCTGCCTGATGCGGATTGTGCACAAAAGTAATTCGTAGCCCATTTGCAATAATAGCGATGTGTGTGCAGCAGCTACGCATGTTACCCGTTCCCTCTTGCATTACAGTAAGAATCTCTAGAAAAAGACGGTCAAGACAGTCGTTATTTGCACCTCCATTGCGCGCGGTGATAGGCGCGGCGTTTTCTTATTTTGCATTAGTCTGCCTACTGGAGCCTCACTTCATGGAGACTGCGACTTCATAGACATTATGGTTATTTTCAGTTCACTGCCGCCATTTGCGACCTAGAACATCGTCTTTGCTGGCGCGATGTCGCACGCAGTTCTCGCAAGCGGGCGAATTTCGATTGTCTTGTCCCAGACCCCTGAAGAGGAGCATGTTTTTACCTCTACTTTCTACTTTAAGTTTACGTTACCCTCATTAGTTTTGACGTTTGCGTTACCCCCATTAATTTTTGCCTTATCAGACTGTAGGTCTTCGTGATTTATCTCTTGGCTGTTCATTTGCGATACCTTATTGACGATTACGATGAGCAAAACGCTGAAAAGTGCTCCCATTTGCAGGTTTGAAACAAACGCTGGCCTTAGTAACCGACTACAATTCCCTAATGAAAGATTTCCCATTGAATGAGCTGGTATCGGCTACAGATTTGGACTCGATCAAAATTGCACTCGGTAATGTCTTCGGGCATATGAAAAAGATAAGGTTCGTGACTCTTTTTGTTTTTATAGCTTCTTGTTTAGCTTTTCAGCATTTCTATGACATTAGGGATCATCAGTAGTGCTAGGATTCACTTTTTAGAGCTACTAAATATCCGGTCCAACGTGCTTTACGGTTTATTGAAGCGATTTCTCGTGATATGAACGGCCAAATACTAAAGGTATACCATTTCTGTTTGTTTTTGCTTTCCGCTGCAGTTCGGCTTGGTGGGGGCATGTTGGCAGTTCCCGTCGCTCACTGTGCCATAACAGCAGCTTCATTCACACTTGAGTCACAGGTTTTACCATGTGTAAACATGTAATCAAGCACGATCTCGCATTAGAAACCAGCGGAGCATTAGAAACCAGCGGAAGTGTCAACTGCCCCTCCCAAACCGAACGGCGCCCAGTTTTCTTTTATATTAGTTAAACCCAATAGCAAATAGTTTAGGTACTCGGTACTCGTCGTCTAATGCATATCTCTATTGTGGAATTTGATCAGCTTATGATGCAATGTATTCAACTGTTTAATAAATGGGATGATGAATATGACAGGTAATATTTAGTAGAAAGACAGCGCTAAGGGGGCGCACTGCTCTGGGAGAGTGTGGGAGGATGGGAGGGTACGCGATGCCTATTCACACAGTCTGATACCCTCCCGTACTTCTATGCTCTCGCAGAGCACTAGCGGCCGCCGCCAGTCGATACCCCTCGACTGCTGTTGAAGCGCTATTGCAGAGAAAGCGCATCGACGCGCTTTTTCGCGAAGTCTAACCTGAAAAAGATGTCTTCGAGGGTTTGGTGGTGTTATCATCACGTCATGGGATGCTTTGCTTAGGCCGTGGACGGATAGTGCAGCCGGAAGGTCGGAAAAGGATGATAAAAGGACACCTTATTGTTTGTGATGTCATTTTAGGAATTCCTTCTGAGCTATACCCCACCACCCCCCCCCCCCTCCCTCCTTTCCGTCCCTCCCTATCGAGATAAGAGAATTATAGAAATTGGAACAGAGAGGAGTGTGAAATGAAGGCGAGGAAGAGTTGTGAAGATGAGTGGAATGCTAGAGTTGCCAGTTCTAAATAGGGCTAGTGTATTGGTCCTGTCGCCCAGCTCAAACAGCTCATAGAAAACCATTGTTATTTCGCCGAACCTTCGAACTCGTCAGAGGTAGGGCTTGCGTAACAGGGTGAGCTAGGGGAGGAGACCCGAGAGGAGTGCGCATACGATCCTTTCTGTGAATTCTCTCACAATTTCACGGTCCTGTTGGTCGTGGAAAGCGATCTGCACAAAATCCTCTGCGGATTCTGGCGACTCCACGGTCCTATTGCCTAAGTGATTCTCTGTTCTAGAGCGATACATATGATTTCTTATCCACAACTCTTGGGACCCATTGTGTATGCCAGCGGCCTTTGAATGGTGCTAACTTTTTTGTACATAGTTCTAGCAGTAGTTTTTTCTTCAGATTCATCGCTCTTTTGCGTGACATTTCAAAGAAGAAACGTGATGAACCTGTGAAACTGATGTGGAAGGTGATGCCTCTGCACAAGAAACTCGAAGGACGTCTCGTACAAATAAAGGCATTCAGAAAGTTTGTTTCATAAATTTTTGGCACTGTTTACCCTTTACTGTCCCAA